ATGAAGGTTTGGATTTATGGTTATGATTATCAAGATCAATTTTATTGATCAGATTGCTTTTGGGTAAGGTTGGCTGGAGGGTATCAGGTTCAGTGGCATCCGAAATTCTCCTACTAGAAAATGCTACCGTGAGATAATTGAGTGGCCGGTCGTTGCCAGAGGTTGAGCTTATCGAGACGCGCATATGAGACTGAGTAAGGCTGATGAGGAAGTACAGTGCGGACTTTTATTTTGCATCAGATATTAATTGCGTATGCAGCTAACTAGCTATGACACAATATCAAAGAAAAATACATAATCGATGACTCAATGTATGTTAAGAGTACTCATGCCTCGGATTTCATTTGCAAGTATCACTACGAAGTTATGGCGGCTTTTTCTTCACCCCAAGTCAACCCTCATCCGTGAATACCCACCCAGGGGAACGTCTCACAAACCCTGAGTTATCCAGACATGCCTCCATCATCTTTCAACTTTTCTCCGCGCGAAATATGATCTAAGATGTCTCCTTCCCAAGTGGAGTAGGTGCCCAGGCTAGTCAGACTATACCAGAGAACATCACCAGGAGGCGGACCACAACACCTTTCATCGTTGGCTTGTGTTTATATTGTCAGCTGCACTCTCGCAAGCGAAGTCTTGGCGCGCATAAAGCTCAATTCGTAAAACTCTTGCCAAAATTCCAAAATTCACGCCTGTCGAGGCTAAATCCTTCCTTTGCATCATCTTGTCAACTTGTCCTGCTCCCTCTCACGGTTGAAATTGGCGCTACTTCGCAATGAAGAGTCGCATTAACACGGAACGTAATAAGCTTCTATTATTACTAGCCACATTCATGACGACTCATACATTGACCAGCCTCCCAATTATTTAGCATAAACAAGTGAATCGTGTCCTTCACTTAGATGTAGTAATTAGTTTAAATAGTGCTCTGATACTAAGTGGGTTTAATCAACAACTCTCCACTATAGTTTTCAGACTCTTCAATCTCCCAACTCGCTTCACTAGGTGGTATTAAATACAAGCCTAACAGCTTACGCTTCTCTATACAACTTCCATTTCAACACTCACGTCCATCCCAAAGAATTTTTTGGTAGGTTTGTACCCCACGCTCTGCTTCATCCTTCGGGTGTAAGTATCGGTGTGGGCGTGTATTTGGCTACCAGCTGAGGCTAGAGAATAGTCGACGAGAGGTATAGGCGTAGGAATGAGGATGTACTAGGTCGTAATTGTAGACTTGAGACTTAGGTAGAAGTCTGAATCTTTGGAAGTGAAAAATTGACGTGGTGGAGTAATTTGAATCGTTGCCTCGTGGGCCAACTCCTTGAGTATTGCGGAGTTTGACTGAACTTGGCTCTGGGTAAATATTTCAGTCCCAGGTTGGTAGAGGACGTCACGTACAGGTTTTTAGTCTTACCCTCCGCGAAGGTGTCTCATAGATCCGACTTATCGACGATAAAATGTGAGTAGAGCTTGGGACTATAAATACGTGATTGAATATTTTACGATACAAGATCAACATACTGGAATATTCCCCTTCACTATGTGTCCCGATGTAAGTAAGTGTTAATTGTCCTAATGAGTCTATGACTATGTAGGACATGCAAGTCCTCTCTGCCTACAAGCTAAGGATACCTATACTAGTAGTATATCCCCTTCTATGCCTCCCATACAGCTCCCCTCACGAGTCCTCATTCGATTATAAACTTAGAGGAGCCGTTATCCCGTCATTATATCCCCTCTCCAACCAACGAAACGATGGCCATTTGCGGATGTATGGCAGCAGGGAAAAATCGCAAAAACCACTGGGTGCGGAGCTCTCCTAATGCCGACATTAGGACTAAATCCGAAGACATAGTGACCCTTCTGGTGCAATCGAAGAGGCCGGCCAGCTCGGCGCTGCAAATTCGTGTGTACATCGGAAAATTCACCCTCTACCTTTCTAGCCTCCTTTCAACTCTTCCCCAAATCTCGTGCTGAAATGTCAGAAAAGTCTTGACAGAGCGTGATTACTGCATGGCAGCTTAGCCCAACTTCTTTTGTACCGTCCAGGGCGCTGGGGAGTGCCGTTGACTCATCGACAAAAAAAGCCTCCTGGCTAATTAGCCGAAATCTCGGTCTTGGCGCCCACAAAAAATCCAGAGTTGAAAACTCGAAAAGACCTGTCCCAGCATAGTCTTCAGAGACCTCTTTCCCCTCTCGCTCCACATCTCAGCCGTTTGTTCTCCCTCAAGTTGTTTGTCCCATTTGAGCAACAGTCCACCACAAGCCATGACCCAGGCTTTGTATTTTTTGACTTGATTTCCTCCTTGCGGATATAAATAGCGTCGTAAATATGTAGTGAGAGATGGTTGAAAATTAATGGGGCAAGCTCCTGTTTGCAATTGGAGCAACTTCTTTATTGATCGTTGAGGCGGGATGATGCGTGGCTAGAAAGAGGTTGAGGACTCAGATGAGAATGATAAGAGAGGCATTGTCGAGAAGTCGTCAAATGGAGATGTGCTTGAGGTTGCTTTCGACTTCGATTCGGATGCGATTCTTCTCGGCTATTCCAGATATGCAGGGCATACTGAGCGATTACACCGGCATCACTGGAAGGTGAAAAATTCGTCTTTGCCGGCCAAGCTCAAAGTTGAATAGGTGTTACTCAATCTCGGCTCTGCAGACCCTACAGTGAGAGCTGGAGGTTCGTTGGAAACACCACCATCAGGTGCTGAGTTTCGTCCCCCATAAAGTGAGCCAATCAACGGCACACAATGTGCACGGTCGGGTTTCCATCAACTGAGATACACAGCACTACAAATCGTATTTATTGTTAGGGAGACTATTCTCAAACCTGTCAGTGGTGTCCCCTACGAACCTCTAGCTCTCACTATAGAGTCTGCAGAGCCGAGATTGAGTAACGAGGTTCTCACTTCGATGGGGACTCCTAATCGCTTTCGCAATCTTTATCGTCTTCATCCCTAAGCACATCCTCCTATCACCATTATCATGAAGCTAGCCATGATCAGACCAGATGGTAGGTTCGAAGCCCTAATCATCATCCAACCTTGATCGTGGAGGAAAAGCCATCCGATGAGTTTCAGGAGCGTACGCAGCAGCAAATATGGAGATGGTGGATTGGATTAAGTGGGCCTCAACTGTTGCAAAGAAGGGAGATATAGATGAATACGCGCATCTCATGTGGTTCAGGTTTCTAGGCTCGCCTGACTGGGGCTGCAAGTTTTTTGAGACTTTTTGCCGCGCACACAGTTTCCGTTGCTATTTTTCTTTTTTATTTCTTTGTTGTATGTAGAAGGTTCCACGGAAAAGGCGGCCGAATTCCATGGGTAATTAACAAGCTGAATGGCTTTTCATTACAGGCAGCACATCAGATTCTTTTCAAGTATCAAAAGAGGGCAGGAGCTTCGTATATGATATGGCCTAGGTCAGGGCCAAGCCCAATGTGCTAGGTAGATATATACTCAAGTATTACAATTAAAACACACACACACATAGGTGTATACCCGAATGAAGGAGGGCAAGACTGGACACCTGTACGCGGTGCCCTCTACGAACCTGGGAGTGAAATATTCTCCCAGAGCCAAGTTCAGCCAAACTTCGCAATATTAAAGAAGTTGGCCTACGAGGCAAAATTTCAAATTACTCCACCATGTCAATCTTTCACTCCTAAAGAGTCCGATTCTCAACTAAACTTCATCAAGTCTACAAGTACGACATAGTACATCCTCATTCCAATGACCATACCTCTCGTCGACTTTCTCTGGCCTCAGTTGACCACCAAATACATACCCACGCAGATATTTATACCCGACGGAGGAAGCAAAGCGTAGAGCACAAATCTGGGAGATAGCTCTTCGAGATGGACGTGAGAGGGATAACGACAAGTTCACAAGATGATGCAGAGGATGGACACAGTCTCGCCGGGCGTGAAACCCCGAATTTTGGCATGAGTTTTACGAATTCAGCTTTGTGCGCGCCAAGACTTCGCTTGCGAGAGTGCAGCTAACACTATAAACACAAGCAAACGATGGAAGGTGTTGTAATCCGCCTCCTGGTGATGTTCTCTGGTATGGTTTGAGTAGTCTGGGAACCTACTCCACTTGGGAAGGAGACATCTTAGATCATATTTCGCGCGGAGAAAAGTTGAAAGATGATGGAGGCATGTCTGGATAACTCAGGGTTTTTGAGATGTTCCCCTGGGTGGGTATTCACGGATGAGGGTTAACTTGGGGTGAAGAAAAAGCCGCCATAACTTCGTAGTGATACTTGCAAATGAAATCCGAGGCATGAGTACTCTTAACATACATTGAGTCATCGATTATGTACTTTTCTTTGATGTTGTGTCATAGCTAGTTAGCTGCATACGCAATTAAAATCCGATGCAAAAAAAGTAAAAAATACCCGAATGAAGACCAGTAAAGGTATTATCGCTGGAAAGAAGCAGTGAAGGAAGCATAGGAGGGGTTATGCTACCCGATGCACAGATACTCCCGACCTGTAGGCAGAAGGGAACTACATGTCCTCGAATAGCCATAAAGCAAGTGGTACAATGAAGCGAAATAACCTTTTCATCTTTTTGGAGCCTATTTTAGCGCTTAGACATGAGGGAACGGCTGCTTTTCTCGTGCCGGAAGTGTCATGGATGCTGCCTGTCGAATCATGTGTAGGTAAAGGGGTTAGCGTAATTTGGATATCGGTTAATATTCTTACCATATTTGGCGCCCAATGGATCTAGCCATCTCTTACATCAATTTGCCCACCACACTACTGTCAACAGCTTCGCTAGTCAGCTGCTCAACCTTCTTGTCAAATTATGTACGCTTGCTAACCTTTACATTCCTTGGAATATTCATCATTAAGCTAAGAACTTCTCCAGCCGGGACGCAAAGGATCTAAAGGAAGCCTGAGCGGCCCCGAACCACGACTTACGAGATTGATCAGATTCATTTCAAAGCTTTTTGACAAGAACTAGTAGGGAGGCGTGAAATTCTCACATAGACATGAAAACTACCGTCGATGTTGCAGTCGAAACGGCAGAGGATACAACACGGGACTTCTGGGCGCATCAACGTCTAGATTTGCTACTGGCGGGATGCACACTCGAGCGAAAACAGCAGATAGTCCATTTTCTCGAATACAAAGTTCCAGCCGACCTTCCTACGAGAAGCCGGGAGCTACCTTGGCCAAGCTGGGATGGCGAAGCCGAGACTTTCTGCGCCTTCTTATTCGAATTAGAGGTAAAGATTGAGGAGGATCGACATCTTCTCGGATCCAACCGAGCCGTCTGTCTCGAAATGCTGAGAACGCTTCCCAAACACAAGAAACACCGAGTTGACATGTGGTTTCGCCGAGGCGGCCTCGACGGAAATTATGATTGGCGGAATCTTCTCGAGTACTTCCAGGAGCAGTTCCTAGGCCGCGCAGCTCGAATGAGCGCAACTGGTGACATGATAACTATACGGCAAGGCGCTGTCCAACCATTCCATGAGTATCTCAAAGATTTCGAATGTAAGATGATGCAGTGCAAGGGCGAAAGATGGCAGACGTCAAATATACTGACGCTACTTCATAACGGACTCAACCTTACCTTGCAGGAAGTTCTCATCACGGCTTGTCCGCCCTTTGATTGGGATTATTTAAAATGGGTGTCCAGGGTGGGAGAAATAGCAAGCGAGCTTGAGTCGCTTCCAGCTCGTCGTCCCCCGGAAAATAATATAGCCTGCTCCTGGTATCTTAGCAGACACGAGGAATCTGAGGACTTAGACACGCCGGAAGCCAATCCGGGCATGGCTCGGATAGAGGAGAATGGCGAAGCGCCTCACCTCAGTCGTATAAATGCAAGACGAAGCAACTCTCGCAATGTGGAAAATGAAACCGTTGTCGACAGGCCTAGCACCATGCAGGGTAGCCTTAATGCCGGCAGTGCAGCAGAGGAACGTTTGACCAAAGCTCGAGCCCCATGGCGGCCGGAAGAAGAACTCACTCAACTCAGGCTCAGTGGCCGCTGCATACGCTGTGGCGAATTAGGGCATATATCCCATAGATGTCCCACTTATCGTTCCGCCCAACGGCCTTTTCCTGAGTGAAGCGACGGCCATATGCCACCAACGTGCCCCTCGTGCCGGCAAAGCGTTGGATTAAGGGAGAGATAGCTAGGAATAGATGGGGAAATGAGTAGATGAGACGAAATCGTTAGCGCACTGCACGTCAGCAATCTCAAATGACGCCGAGAAATGTGGCTTCGCTTCGATTCACGTTGCTTCACTACTCTCATCATGTTCAAGGGAGGTGAGCGATGAAGAACATCGGCATCAAATTACGCGTCTCCTCAAGATGCCCGCGACACCCTTGTATTCATCGCATTGGCTTTGTGATGGTCTGTTCATTGTATTCAGCGCATGGCGTGTCCGACAAATTTCCACAAATCCACATACCCGCCACTGGCTCAGATATGAGAATCCTACCTCTTGGCATAGTGTTACATTTTCCATAGAGCAATGGGACTCGCTGTAAGTAGGGGTGCGCCCACAGTAAAGTATTCATGACACCGTTCTGCCCTCGCGAGCGTGAAACAGTGATCCCGTTTTCGATCTCATATCGCCTTTGCTAGTGGCACTAATTTGGGATGAGACTTGTTCCTATCATCTCAACCTTCATCTGCAGCAGGTGGGAAAAATATGGGTTCACGTGACTTGACATACGGTTGTAGCAATGGTCGCACAACTTGCTATTGATTTAATCAACGTTATTCACATACTCAGAATCAAATTCATACTAATCACCTTATATCACCGTAAATACTCCCCTTTTCTTCGGTGAGATTTCTCAATCATCCCAACATTTCTACTTTGCGAAACGCAATGATATAATCCTCTGCCTCGTAACACGGGTCATAGACTGCAATAGAGTGGCTTGGATCAGAAAGGGCACATTGGGTCTCGTCCTTGTATATGGAGCAGAAATGAAATTCTTTTTGCTCTTTTACGCTACCGAGGGATTCCATGGAAGTTGTGAACAGCTCGCTTTAATCGATCATTCAAACATAAAGAATTCCCAATAAGTGATGATCACAAACGAGCTCCCCTTGCCATCAAAATATTCTAATATCCGTTCGCTGACAATTAGCCTTTCATATAGACATATCATTTAAAAACATAAACCTCAACATAGGCTACGATTTGGTACCTCTTAATCGCTGACGAGACCAAGGTCTCAGTTATTGTATACCTTGCAACGCCTTCCGAAATAAAAATCCACCACTAATCCAAACAGTCATTTTACTGTTGCCCCCAAAAATTCAATCATCAAGTCAGCTCATCATCCTCAGCGGATTCCTAATACACTTATTTAGCTTTCGTATTTGCCAAGCAGCCGGTAGTATGGTCATATTTCATAGTCATGTCGTCGTGAGTCGTTATTTGGTATATTCTTCTGATGAATCAAAGTAATTATTAAAAAAGTGAACTCTTCCGCAACATGTGTGTGCAAAAACAAAAAAAGAATATTATCTCTACTTAATTCTTATAGAGATGCAGCGGCAACAAGGGCATCAAGACGAATTGTATCGGTACCTGTATTTCTCGAATTTTTCTGGTGTGGAAATGGTGGGGTAACATTGGCACAAGGCTCGGGAGTCGGAAGAGGTGGATAAGGATTGGACCGACCATAATCTCCTGAGATAGCTACTGTGCCGTGATGATTAGCAGTCCAGTTGTTGACGCAATAATTATTCGAATAGTAGTCATTTGTCGGTGTACACGGTTCTTGTGTATTTCTACTAGCAAGACCATTTGCTTCGGCCGAAATTAATGGTTTTTGAACTACTGATCGTATCCATGACGGGAAATTAGGATTACTTTGTACAGAATCTGTAGGCCAAGATGTGGCATGATTTTTCAATATAGGTATCTTCTCGTTGATAGGGTGCCTATGCGTCACTCGGCCTATACTGGTAGGAGATGGGAGTTCTTTGTGTAGAGAAGTTTTTAATCGCTTGCCTTCGTTGCTGCAATTGATACTACCACCTAATTCAGTACGAGGTGCTTCCCAATCTCCTGTGTCCTGTAATTCATGTAGAGGTCCTCCTCGGCTGAATCCATGACTCGCATAGCGGGTCGACGATAAATTTAACGGAGAAATAGGCCATGAAGATCGTACATCTGGATTGAGATTCATGAAGCTGTTAGAATCGCGTCGTGGTGGAGTAGGAGGGTCTCGTAGAGAGTCAAAGCTCTCTATTCCTGGTAGGCGCATTGTAGGAGCTACTGATGCATCATTTTGAAAGAGGTGTGATGGTTGAAATGATTCGTCAGGTACATGAGAGATAGACGCCATGGTCTCATAGCCCCGACTTATCATGGAAGCAGACGAGTCAGGATGCCAAGTCCGGCGTCGAAATTCTGCATCTGACACGCTCTTATTTGTGGCACTCTTCTGAAGCGTTGGTTGAGCTGAAGAAGTAAAGCTAAGCTTTGGCATTGCACCTGGAGGCTTCGAGGGAGACGAGGAAATTGAACTTGAAGTGTTTGGGACAGACATGCGTCGGTCATGCGTGTATTTGTCAGTGGGACGATTAAGCTGAAGTGGGTACGACATGCAGTGGGGAGAGATCGTAGCAGGAGTCCATGGAGGTGTGCCAGGACCATTGCATGACATTGCCGATATAGACGTATGGTAATTATTATTCGGCGAGGGAAGATTGAATTGGGGTGTAGCGGGAGTTGTAGGTCTAGTTGTCCATTCAGGAGAGCAAGGTATCCGGTCAACATTCGTGAGCATGACTAATGGTGCTGGACGCCTCTGATCACTAATGCCTTGTGCGCCAAACGCCGAGTTGATGGAGCTCGTACTAGATGTAGACAACGAGTTCCGTGTATGTCGGCGAATTGGACCACTCTGGCTGCTACTGGTAGTATGACCTCTCGTTCTATTACCTTGCACCCGAGCTCTCTCTATCGGCACCTGTCGCTGATACCTTGTTCCCATGGCAGCTAGGGAATCTTGGGGTATATTTTCGTTTTGATGGACTGTCTGTGCATGTTGACGTAGATTGTCAAGACGTGAAAAACGGCGGGAGCAATGACATACAAATGGTCTTTCTCCCGTATGTTTCCTGCGAGTGGTTAGCACCAGGCACGACCAAGCCGAATAGACGGGGATCTAGTCGTACCTAATGTGTCGGGCCAGGTGTTCGCTGCGTGTAAAGCTTAAACTACACGGCGGATACTCATCACAATAAAACCTTTGAGGCTTACCCTTCTTTTTATGGGAGGAACAGTGTGTCTCTAAGCCTTCCCTTCTACCCTGAGCCAGCATGTCTTCGTTTCGGTTCGCAGGCGTCTGCAGTGCACCATGGTGTGCTTGAGAATGAGGCCGATCGTCGACATTGGGGAAGGGGCGTGCCGAGCGTATATCATGGCGACTCTGTTTCAAGTGATTGTAGTCTTCAGATTCTGGTGACGATGGCTGCGGTGAATTTGTTTCAGCATTGGGTGATGACCTATGTTTCGAACCAAGGTTCATCTGGCTGGTGGTAGATGCCGGGGAGGTGTCTGTAGGAGCACAAGCCACATAGTCGGGCGGCGACATCGGATTATTTGGGTATTCTCCCGTGATGCGTGAAACTCCCGGAGATGAAGTATTTGATACTCAAAATACCGGACAGAAGTAAATTAATAAAGGGTTTTCGCTGCCCAAATATACTACCAGTGGTAATCGACCATGGGAGGTTGGGGATCGACGGGTCCGTCAGTACGTCAGATTATCCTTTTTCCGAGATCGGATGGGGGCAGATGCACGAGTGGGCGTTCGGAAGTTGAATGTGAGGGTGGTAGAATTGGGAGACGATGGGCACAAAGGGGTCGGCTGAGTATTGTGGCGACGTCTTTTGAGGGAGGGGACGGACCTTGAAGTAACGAGGTAGATGCCTGAACGGCTGAGAAGCGCGCACAGTCTCCGTATCTGGTAGCTGCCGTTGGTGTTGCACGGACCGGGCAGCAGGCACGAGGTACTAGACGAGACTGAGTTAAGACAAATGGTGTGGCGGAACAGTTGGTAGATGAGCAGAGCTAAGAATTTCGTGGGCCTTCGCCTGTTGTCTAACCCAAATTTTGAGATTTAGAGGCTATTTAGAGTCGGGTCAGTGGGTTTCTGTGAATAGAACGGCACAGATGTGTGGTTTGGGGTGGAGAAGACACCAACGGCATGGACGGATGGCCTGGGATGACAAGGCCAAGTGTCATGGGTGACCTAATAATGATGATGATGACGGAAGCTGCAGCTGGAACTGGTGCAGATGCTAATGCCAGGTGGTGAAGATATGGATATTGCTGGGGTGGGGGATTATGGTGACAGAGGACGAGCGGGAGAGTTTGGAGTGGGAAGAGGTGAAGAAAGTGGAAGGGGACAGTGACGATCCCCGGAAGGAGCGAGGGAGTACGCATAATTAAAGTTTAGGCAAGAGGTAGGACGGCCCAGGGGCTTGAAGTTTGTGCAGCCCGTCTGGTTGCTAGGTCTGACGGACCAGGGGCGAAGTGTTATCGATAAGACAGAAAAAAGCATGCGCCGCCAACCAAAGCAGGCTAGAGTCAGGTGATGAATGTAGGATTACAAGAGAACGAGGACCTACTCAAGCTGTGAACACGGGAAAGATTGATGGCGTACCACAGACAACAACAGTGATGATGATATTGAAAGTTGAAAACTCGTCAGGTGAAATGCCCTAGTTCGCTCCGAGTAAGTTTAGAAGGTCGGGTGATGGATATTTCAACAAGTGGCTCTTTAAACGTAGTGGGGACAGGGTCGAGTGAGCAGAGATGTAGAGAGATTGAAAGTGTTGATTGACAGTCATTCTATTCATCTTGAATATATAGAGCGTGGCTGCCTTGGGCAGTTTGTAGGTCTGAGGCAATAGGCAAGGTGTTGAGCGGAACAAAGTTGGTGGAGACAGAGGAGAATAGAGTGGACGCCAGTTGTACCTCATTTGCCGCCAACTTTGGGCCCTGACAGCTCTGCTTTCAGCTGTCACGCCGCCTGCCGGCTACCTTTATCCCCCGTCCGACGACTGCTAGTTATTGATGGCGTGGGACCTGGTACCCACTGAGCCCGGGCCGCGTCGTCAGGAAATGCAGGAACACGGCCACTTCTTGCGTCACCCTGCCCACCTGCTCACATAGATCCTCTTCTAAGCTTCTGCCTGCTCATCCTCCCTCACCCCGAGCAAGGTGGTGACATAACCGTTGTGCTGGATTTGTTTGTTGGCGTAGGCATAGTGGGGGAGAGGGTTAAATGGCTAGCGAGTAGATATCTACGGCTTCATTGAGTTGCCTTTCCTCACATCCGTTTGTCCAGACACCGGTTGTTCGAGGCCACCTCCAACCGGCTCATCTTTGCGCCGACGACGCCTTCCGTAGCAGCCCGTGTCTGCGCTGTCGATCATGGACGTAGCTTCTGAACGTTCGCGTAGCAGGCCCCCCGCTCAGCATGACATACTCGTTCGGGGGATCGGGTGCGGTGAGGAGGAAAAAGCGAGCAGGTTGCCACTAAATGTTGGTGTGCAGGGAAAAGATCCCCCCAGGTGCCTGCAGCATTACTGCGTGTTGGTGGACTACGCGAAGCACTAGGGCCGATGCCGCCTTAAAAAAGCGGTAAAGGCTGCCATGACTTCGCGCGACCTGTGTGGGTCACGTGATACCAACACGAGGAACAACTTGATGCAAGCGCCCTTCGTGATCGACAGGGCAGGAGGCGCAGGACCTTCGCCGGGGAGAGCTGGGCACCGAAAAGAGCGGTGGGCCCCTCGACAGGGTATGTCCCATAACTGCTAATGAATAGGTGGGTCACGGTGCAGTAGACGGTTATCTACCGCCCCTCATTCGCGGGTCCATCGCGGACTACGCGACGACGCATGGACCAGCCGCCTTACGAACTCGAATCACGAGCCTAATTACTTTATCACTGGTGGCGCTACTGGAGGCGCGAGCCCCCCGCGTTTATGCCCATATCTGTTTACGACACTTATGCCACGTTCTACCTCCCTTCCCCAGCCTCGGCATCATTTACAATGCTTGGATTTGACCTCATTCATCGCAGCGACCTCTTGGTCAAATTTGCACACCGCTTCACGAATGGCCAGAGTGCCTAGGCACGAGAGACTGCGATGGGTGCCTTCTCGTCTAAGCCGTTCTGCTCTGGGCCCCAAGGCATGTAATATTAGCGTCCACCCAGTCGACTGGAAAGACTAGACTTGTCCGCCACTGCATTCTGTCAGCATGCCAAGCCTTACCCCTGTCGAAACAAAGGACTGCCCTGCAGGTATCTGCTGCACAGTTTGTCCCGAATGGCGAAGTCTTAGTTATGATCATGCCGAGGGCTGATACGGGTCCTTGCCACCACAGTCTTACTTAGGCAGCGCAAGTGCTCGTGCAGCGCATATACGGCATGTGTACGGGCGCCGGAGGTGACTTGAATGCCGTGTCCCCAGCCCTAGGGCCAGGACACGGTCTGTGCTATCTCACCTAGCAGCTCCGATGCCATCAAAGCTCGATGAGATGAGGGCTGCGTTGTATAGTGATGCCACCGTGAGACCCATCACGCGTAAGTGTTACTCGCCGCTTGTGTTAGCTCCAGGTTCAATCGAAATGGACCATTTACGCTTCGAGTGTAACTACCTTGAGGCATCATGAAAAGCTTTGTCTTAGTGTGGTTAGCACACTAACCATTCTCAAACAAATCAATCGGCCTAAATTAGGGCTGAGATACAGGTCACGTGACGATATGCTCTGCGTGAAATCCAATTTATCTCGGCCTCGAATATTGATCGGCAGTATTTGGCATTAAATGTGACGTTTTTCAATCACGTGATTCGGTCATAGGCTGTGCAGGGGTGTGATTTTAAATTCCATCCAGTCGGCATCCGCAAGAATTCTAAATCAGCCATAATCTAGAACCGATAAAGCAAAATCATCCACACCAAATAATGTGTCTGGGAGCAGGAATATTATGTGGGGAGTAGTACTCACCCTCCTCTTTATCTGGCTACCCCAAGGGCCTACAACAGATTCGGAACATCGGATCCCGGCACTTAACTAGCTACATCTTTATCGATCACTCTGAAAGGAGAGCAAAGAATAACTTAGATCAAGCTCACGGCTACCTTCCACAAAGATATATGCCTAGGTTGTCACTTTTTGTCGGCACATATTGGTGTTCTGTCCGCAAGGGCCCAAACTTCGTATCAGCCCGCTACAATTACCTATACTCGGTAATGAGACTGAAGTCGGAGTCCGGACGCACAAGCAAATTTGTTGGAGATGGGAGGTGATCCGGGAAATAGAGATAATAGGTACCTATCAACCTGAACCGTTGTTGTTGCTTGACGTATTTGTGCTCACACGGTGAAGGTAGGATAGCTCTCCATCCGTCCGGCTTGACATCATTTTTCTTACTCTCGTATGTGCAAGGCTTATCCCATGACTCATGTAGCTCGGCTCCTTGTAAAGCTCTGTTCGACTCTCACTAGAAACGCCCGGGACATAATGGATACATGAAAAGCTACTGACGACTCCATCCCGACAGATTCTTCACCGTTTCGCTATCGATCCAATTGTCACTCTGCCTATCCCAACAGGAAAACGTCATGTTTTTAAGAATGTCAGGAGAAGAGTAAATACGACAAACTTATCTTTCCGGCATTCATGAAAGCTCGTTCCGCAGATAAAATGCTGACCTAGTTACTCTAGATTACAAGGTACTCTTCGCTGCGACTGGCCGGGATGGGCCGCAATTGGTGACATATCGACTATCTACACCTCTATCCTCTTAGCACACGAATTTGCGGTTTCTAGAGAGCTGTCAAGGTACGGCGAAAAAAGCTACCACATCTATGGCACCCACTGCACCGTAGAGCGCGGGCCGCAAGATCCTGGTTTAAAAGTCTTGCGCGATTAGGATTCTGCAGGGAGCTTAAGTAGGTATACACTTGGTCGAGACCCAGTGTAAATTCAGAGTCCAGAGTCACAGGTAAACAAGATGCAATATAGTTCTGATAACCAAGTGGCTCGTGCAAATTGTGGATCTGAGTAATTCTCAACATGCTCCACGCAAATCTGCTCCTTCCATAGTAGCCTGTTACTCGTCCCAAAATATGACTCATTTACGAGCGTAGTCTAGAGTTTTTTGGTGTGTCGGGGATTTGTTGATCTTCCCTCGTTTCGTCATACTTGGCTCAGAATCAGATTGATGCAGGACTAAAATTTCTATCCTATCCTATGCTGGCACACGTGGCATCAACAATTATTTTGGTAGGACCGTCTATCATTTTAATGCATCGCTGACAGGCTGTTATGACGACAGAGATATGCGAGAGCTCGTGGGACTTTGAGAAAAGGTTCTCGTGTAGAAAGAAGCCAACTCATTTGCTAGACTTTTGTCGCCATAGGATTGCTAAGACAAAGAAATGAAATCAACTTATTTCACAATAGTAAATTAGAAGGGTGTATTCAAGCATCCCAAAGCTTTTGAATTATGTTCTAAAGATGATTTTTAGTTCTCTTGTAGTTCTGTAGCTAGAATTAATTGTGTCTCTGTCT